AAAAAAAAAAAAAAAAAAAAAAAAAAAAAAAAAAAAAAAAAATGATATATATACATACACACATATAAGGTAAAACCTAGAGCAACCATTAAACAGCTATAGAAAGAGATATATTAAAAAGCACTGTAGATAAATCAAAATGGAATTCTAAAAAACCCCCTCTCTCAAGAATTGCTAGGACAAGTAGGCAGAAAACTATCAAGGATATAGAATTAAGCACCACCATCAACCATCAGGATTTAATTGATTTCTTTTTTCTTTTTTTTGGTAGCTGGCCAATATGGGGATCAGACCCTTGACCTTGCTGTTATGGCACTGTACTCTAACCAACTGAACTAACTGGCCAGCCCCCCTAATTGATTCTTACAGAATACTCCACCCAACAGCAGAATACACATTTTTTTCAAGTGTCTGTGGAACATATACCAAGATAGACCATATCCTGGGTCATAAAACAAACCATAATAAATTTGAAATAACTGAAATCATATACAGTGTGTTTTCAATCACAATCAAATCAAAACAAATCAAAAAACAAGTATAACAGGAACATCTTCAAACAGATACTTGGAAACTAAACAACACACTTGTAAATAATCAAGGGATCAAAGAGGAAATCTTAAGGAGGAACAAAAAATACTTTGAATTAAGTAAGATGAAATATTTAAATTTGTGAGACAAAAAGTAAAACAAAATTTGTTGGACACCACTAAACAGATTTTCAAAAAAAAATTCATAGCAGTAAATTCATTCATTAAAAATGAGGAAAAGTCTCAAATCAATAATCTAAGCTCTGATTGTAAGAACTTAGAAAAAAAAGAGTAATATAAATTCAAAGCAAACGAGAAGGAAATAATAAATATAAAAGCAGCAATCAATGTAATTGAAGGCTGGCCATTTAGCTCGGTTGGGTAGAGTGCAATGTTATAATACCAAGGTCAAGGGTTCAGATCCCTGTACCGGCCAGCCATCACAAACAAACAAGAAAAAGAAATCAATGCAGTTGAAAACAGAAAAACAATAGCGAACATTGGTAAAAAGCCCTATTACTATTAAGGAATTGAATGCATAATTTAAAAACTCTCCAAAAAGAGATCTCCAGACCCAGGGGATTTCATTGGAGAATTATAACGATTGCTGTAAAAAGAATTAACTCCAATTTTTCACAAACTCTACCAGAAAATAGGAGAGGAAAGGACACTTCCCAGTTCATTTTATGAAGCTGATATTACCCTGATACCAAAACCAGAACAAGACAGTACAGTACCATGAAAGAAAACTACAGACTAATATCCCTCATGAATATAGGCACAAAAGTCCCTAACAAAATATTAGCCAAAAAAATTCAATATGACCAAGTGGAATTTATTCCAGGGATGCAAAAAGGGTTCAATATTTGAAAAAAAAAAAAAACTTTTGCACTGTGGAAAACAGTTTTGCAGTCCCTCAAAAGTCAAACAGAGAATTATCATATGACCCAGCAATTTCACTCTTAGATATATTCCCAAAATAATTGAAAACAGGTACTCAAAAACAAATACTTGCCTACAAATGTTCATAACATTTTTTTTTTTTTGGCAGCCGGCCAGTACAGGGATCCAAACCCTTGACCTTGGTATCATAACAGCATTATTTGTAATAGCCAAAAAGTGGAAACAATCCAAATGTCCATCAGCTGATGAATAGATAAACAAAATGTGTATCCATACAATGGATGAAACTTGATAACATTATGCTACATGAAAAAAGTCAGACACAAAAGGTGACACGTATTGATTTCATTTTATATAAAATGCCCAGCATAGGAAAATCCACAGGGACACAAGATAGGTTACTGTTGCCAAGGGATGAAGTAGGGGGAAAGGAATTGGGAATAACTATTCATAGGTATAGGTTTTCTTTTGGGGGTGATGGAAATGTTCTAGAATTTAAACAGTGATGATAGTTAACACAACATATTGAATGTACTAAAAACCACTGAAGTCTACACTTTAAAATGGTGAATTTTGTGTTTTATATCTCAATTTTTTAAAAAAACTTTTGCTTTGTGAAAGACCCTGTTAAGAGGATAAAAAGACAAGCCACAGATTGGGAAAAAATATTTGCTAGCGACATATCCAACAAAGACTAGTATCAGGACTATAAAAGAGCTCTCAAAACTCAACAGTAAAAAAAAAGAAAAGAAAAGAAATCAACTTAAAAAATAGGCAAAAGACATGAAGAGTCATTTCATTAAAGAGTATATAATGACAATAGCAAACATTTATTGAGTGCGTAGTGCTAAATTCATTCCTAAAACCTTGATCCATTTAATTCTTAACAACAACCCTATCACGTAGGTACAATCATTAGTTCCACCCTATAGATGAGAAAACTAGGGTCAGAGAATAGTAAGGTAACTCGCTCAAAGTTACATAGTTAATAATTGGTAGGGCTATCGTTCAAATTCAGGCTGTCTGGCTCCAGAGTCTGTGATATTGACCACCATGCTAATAACCAGGCAACTTCACCTCCAGTACTCAAGTTTTTCAGCTTTCCTTGAAATTTGCATCAACATTCCAGTAGCTGCTGCCCTCTGTAGGCAGGGCATTGTAATACATTTGTCACACTGCCCACGACTCTCTATTCAATAGAGTTTATTACTTCCAGTTCACCTCACTCATTGATATTGTTAAATCTTTTTAGACATGTAAGTTTTCACACCCTGCCATTCAATGTTACCTTGGGCTTACAAAATGAAAAGGCCATGTAGGGCCGGCTGGTAGCTTGGTAGGATAGAGCTCGGTGATGTAACACCAAGTTCAAGGGTTTGGATCTCTCACAATGAACAGTGCCAAAAAAAAAAAAAAAAAAAAGGGAGAGAAAAGGGAATATTAAGACTATATCAATTTAAAGCTAACAAAGAAGAACAACCATTAGAATTAACATGAACTCTGAATTGTAGAATATTTTTAAAGTAACTATAATAAAGCAAATGCAAATAGATACTGCTAGTGTTGCAGCATTTGTTTTTCATTAAATACATTTATCTATGGGTCTGTTCATACTATTAATTACTTCATCCCTTTTCTAAATTAACTGTTGTTAACTCTCCTTTCCCTACCTCACCCTCAGTGTAGTAGCGGTCAGTGTCCCTCATATGTCCCCTTGACATTCACCTTTCCCTTAGAGGCACAAGGTCATCCTCAGGCAACTTTTTTTGCTTAAGGGCTTGCTTTTGGTTCTCCTACAGGGAGCAGGCCAGAAATGCCAGAAGAGTTGACATCCCCAGAGAGCTGCCACCAGGCAATTATGGATGAGCAGAAGAGGATAAATACCCCAGTTTCCCTGCCCCTTGGGTGTGACAACTCTGAGGCATGTTCCCAGTAGTTCCCAGCAGGATTGAAGACCAGTTGCCCTCAGTAATAACCTGCTCACTAATACACCCTTTATTCATTTCTTTCCTTTCCTTGTCTCACTTCCCCACTTCCCTACAAGCGCTTTCTGGAGTCCCTTCTCAAATGAACCATTTGCACTAAAATCCTTTTCTTGGGTCTGATGAGCACTCACCCCAGCCTAAGATACCCATTCCAGGAAAGAGAGACCAGCAGTTTCTTTAAAAACACAGCCTCACCCAGGAGGAAAGTAAAGACTGGCTGTTTCTAGCCCATTGACAAGGATTAAGCTGGTGGTTTTAGATGGAGAAATAATATGATCCAGCTTTGAACTGAGAAGGGGTGGGGGTAAAAGCAGAAATATGTGAAGCCCCAAGTCACATGCTTTCCTCCTCACCTCTGGATTCATCCAGGTCTGAATTTCCAGTCATCGAGAGTTTGGGCTCCACCGGGGGCTCCAGCTAACTCCTCCAAGGGCATCTGTGATGGACTGAATTATGTCCTTTCAAAATCCATAGGTTCAAGCCCTAACCCCCAATGTAACTATATTTGGAGATAAAGCCATTCAGGAGGTAAATTAAGGTTAAATGAGGTCGTAAGCATGGGGCCCTAGTTCAATAGGACTGGCATTCTCAAAAGAAAAGAAAGAAACACCAAGAGTGTATATGCACAGAGAACAGACCAGGTGACACAGTGAGAAGGCGGCTGTCTGCAAGCCAAGGAGAGAGGCCTCAGGAGAAACCAAACACCTTGATCTTGGATTTATTGGCCCCAGAACTGTGAGAAAACTAATTACTGTTGTTGAAACCACCCAGTCTGTGGTATTTTGTTGTGGCAGCCCTAGCAGACTAATACAACAACCCTCGACAGATGGGAGACAATCTGAAGTACATATAAATTTCTCCACCTCCAGTCCTTTGAGCAGACAACTCTGAAAAGCACTTAGTATGCTGCTCAGGAGGTTTCAGCAGAATCAAGGCCCTACTGCCCCATGCACTGACCCCAATCCATAACACACTCTAATATTGGCTTTACCTCCTTCCCTGTCAGTTTCCTACTCTCTCACTCCTCTTTATTAGAATCACCCTAACTACATTGCCTGCATATAAGTCCTTATCTCAAGCTCTGCTTTTGAGAGAACCCAAGCTAAGACAGGGCCTGCCCCCCAGACAAAAGTAGAATCTGGAGTCTAGAGGGATTTCTAGGAATGGCAGCTCTTGGGGCCCTACTCATATGCAACAACCAGGATGTGTGTCTGTAGCTCCTCAGACACAGAATGAATTCAGAGATGCACCAAGCAACAAAGGTCTACTTCATTGAATATAACCTTTCCCACCAGAAGACCAGCTATCAGCAGCCACATAAGGCAGAAGAATCAATAGGAGCAAAGCTGACATCTGTCCAAGGACTAAGTACGGGGCCCTTCCCAAAGTTCCTGGGACTATGTAAACCTGTGATTCTTTTTTTGTTTCTTTGTTTGTTTGTTTGACCAGTAAGGGGATCGCAATCTTTGGCTTGGTGTCGTCTGCACCACGCTCAGCCAGTGAGCGCACCGGCCATCCCTATATAGGATCTGAACCTGCGGCCTTGACGCTCCCAGCACCGCACTCTACCAAGTGAGCCATGGGGCCAGCCCAAACCTGTGATTCTTGAATGATTCCATGGAGGGAATGAAAAGGGCTTGGATAATAACTGAAATTTGATTTCCTGCCAGGTAAATGGATGAAGGCTGAAAGCTGATGACATTTGGTTTACCAAAATAAGGAATAAGACATGTCTTGCACTCTGGGGCTTTAGACCCATTAATAGCTACAACTGATTGAATAAGAAACTGAGATCAAGGCATGTTTCATACCATCTTCCAGAAGTCTCCACCCACCCGGGGGCCTGGGGCATGTAGAAGGGGACCAGACCCCCCTGTCCCACAACCAGGCACACTGCACCAGTGCCTCGGGGTCTACCTGGGGACCCAAGGCATGGAGAAGGGGACCAGACCACCCTCCCACAGCCAGGTACACTGTGCCAGTGCCTCGGGGTCTACCCGGGGACCAGAGGCATTGAAAAGGGGACCAGACTCCACTCCCACATCAAAGCACACTGCACCAGTGCCTCAGGGCCTGCCCGGGGACCCGAGGCTTGGAGCTGAGGACCAGACACACCCCACAACCAGGCACACTGCCAGCACTAAGGAGCATGCCAAAAACATCACCTCCATGTGGGTGGCCCACCACAGCCACCACATTAACCATGGCTGCCACAAAAGCAGCTGGACGCCACAACCACCACACAGATGGTCTGCCAACCATGGGAGTGCATTGATACAAGGAGAGTCATCAGCAGAGATAAAGAAAAGAAGAGAATGTCTCTCTCCACAAAGCCCATTTTGGAGTGACATAAAAAGCATCTGTTCTATGATAATACTGGGGGACCTGATCACACCTCTCAGCATTGGACAGATCTTCTAGGCAACAAGTCGACAGAATAACCATTTTTCTTTCAGAAGGAGAGAAGAAATCTAGGGTAATTAGAGGGGGCAGGGGAAAGGGGATGGGAGAGATTGGACAAGAGGCATAAAGAATAATTACGATTTGTAACAATATATTTGCTAGTAATATCGATTTGATCAACATATCTCAATGTTGAACCCAAAAAATATGTGTAATCAATTTTGATTCAATAAAAATAAATAAAAAAGAAGTCCCCACCTAGAGGTGCTCAGACAAGTTAATACCAAATTAAAGATATTGTGTATTGCATGTATTTATAAAAGGGAAGAAATGTTTGCCTCTTCTGTTCCCTTTTTCCTTAGGCCTAATTTAAGTACAGAAGAAAAAGAAGTTATGAAGAACTCCCTTTTGTTGTGCTTGTTTTTTTAACATTGCATGTTATTTCATACCATTGATAACACAATATAACGACCAAAAACAAGAAGCCAGGCTTCTTTAGTTCATCCTATTTTCTCGCTTCTAAACAATAGTGGGAACAAAGCCCATAGGAAAATTTCGCCTGCCAGACACATTCTTGTGATTATTTGGAAATATGCTAGAACTGATGGCAGCCCTCTTGATCTTTTATAAGAAGTAAAAATTAACAAATTTTGCTTTAAAAGAAATTTCTTCCCCTATTTACCAACTTCGAGTTTCCCCATTTTGAAGTTTTCAGATAGATACTATAAATTGTCTTCTGTGAGGTTTCTTCTTAATTGCCTGCAAGATTTCATAAAATTAACACCTATTGTATACCTTAACCTTGCACGTAGCTGGGAAACTCTCGTCAAATCGTCAAGTGGATGAATAAATTGTTTAGCTAGGGTAGTTAAGAACTATCTGAACAGAAAGTTCTTCAACGTCCTTCCATAATGCACCTCGAGTCCTCTGGGGCTGAAAGAAACATTCAAAAGGACAGCTGAGGCTTCCGCGGCGGCAACCGCGGGGCTCAAAGGACTGGCTGATCGGCGGAGAAGGGGCGGGGCGCGGCCAGGCCAAGCCCGGGGACTCCGCCTGCTGCAGCTGCCCCCGGGAGCCCCCGCCGCAGCCCCCACCTCGGAGCCGGGCCCGCGAGCTAATCCGAGCCAACGGCCGGAAGCAAGCCGGAGGGCGTCCCGGAGGCGGCAGCGCGGTGACGGCTCAGGGCCCAGCGTCTTCTTTCAGAGCCACCTCCCACCCCCCCACCCCCGGGGCCGCAGGTTACCGTCAAGCAGCACCGCAAGGAGATACGGCAGCGCCTCAGCCTGACGGAGAGCATCCTGGAGCAGCTCGTGCGCCTCTGCTACGGGCCAGGAGGGGGACATCCCGGAGCTGGAGGCTGGACGGGACGAGCTCGTGGACGTGGAGACTGGCAATACCCGAGCGGCCAGGGGCAAGGCGCTGCTGGCCGACTGTTACAAACCCACTGAGGCCTTCATCTCTGGCCTGCTGGACAAGATCCGGGGCATGCAGAAGCTGAACACACCCCAGAAGAAATGAGTCCCCGACCCAGATGAATGGTGGCTCCTACACGACAGTCGGTGCCTCCCGACTTTGTAGCAACAGCAGTACGGGGTGACCCTGCGGCCAGGCCTGGTGCCAATAAACAAGGCTCTCCCTGCCTCTGGCCCACCGGCTTCTTGCCCCGCCCCCTCAGTTTTCCATTTTGGGGTTTTTTAGTTATTAAACTGATGAGACTTTTTCTGTTTTTATATTGACTCTGTGGTGCGGGCCCTTTAATAAAGCTAGGATATGGCTTTGGCAGCCAAAAACCAAATAACGAAAGAACAGCTCAGTATATTACCAACTCCTGTCAGGATCCTGAGTGTAGGCATTTTAAGTGTGAATAGCTAAGTAGTGTGAGAACGTGACTGCTTCTGGAATAGGTAAAGTTACAGAAAATACAGTAGGGAACACAGAAGTTAGCTTCTCTCCTTCCTGGAATGATCCACGGCTTAGCCATCTCTTATGTGATAAAGAAAATAAACCCTGCGCTGAATTCAGTATAAAAGAGAAATGTTAAGGATTCACAATAATAACCAGCAATTAATATTATTTTATATATATAATAATATTAATATATTTAATGTATATACACCAATGACTTCATTCAAAGAATCTTAAGTAAACAGTCACATTGATATATAGAACAAAATTCAATAGCCATATCTACATATCCACAGACCTACCTGGACTAATATACTTTCTAATTTATTCACTTTTTTTACTTAAATAAATCTGCCTAATAGGGAAACTTCAGGAAACCGAAAGTGCAAAAAGTGTTATTTCCTCCCTCGACCTCATCTGCTTTCAGCCCCAGACGCAGCCCCAGCATCCAGCATCTAGCTCCCTACACTCAACCTCCTGCTGTTGGCCATCAGATAAATATTCCTCATTTTTCCTGAGCTAGAGCCTTCTGTAGTGGTCCCAGGTATAACTTCTGTCATGCCCTGGGAGTGGAACGTTGTGGTGGACAGGAGCTCTTCTAAGTGGTGTCTGTCCAGAGAAACAGCTGTCCAATAGAAATATAATATGAGCCACAAGATGCAAGCCACATATAAATAAAAAATGTTTTAATAGCAACATTGAAAAAAGTGAAAAGAAACAAGCAAATTTAATATTAGTAATGTATCTTATTTAATCCAATTTATTTAAAACATTCTCTTTCACCATGTGATTGATACAAAAAAAATTATTCATGAGACATTTTACATTCTTTTTTTTTTTTTTTACTAAGTTTTCACATTTTGGTGTATATTTTACACCTACAGCACATCTCAATTTGGACTAGCCATTTGCAAGTACTCAATAGCCAGATGTGACTAATGACCCCGTATTGAACAGTGTGGATCTAGAGTACACTGTGGTAGCACATTCATAGAACGGAAGGCAGGAAACATGGCATTGCCCTAAACACCCCCGGCATCACTCTTCAGGAAACACTGCTATCAGAGTTTCCTCAGCTAGAGTTCATGATATGAAGGGATCCCTGTTCATCTAATACTGAATGAGATTCCTTAGTTGACCCTAAAACTGCCTATAACCTCCTCAGAGGTGTTGCAGTAACCTCCAGACTAAGAATTGACTATCTGGTCTTAGAATAGATCCTTCAACCTGGAAAAGACCCACCTGGATGCACCTCAGGTTGGGAGTGCCCCTCCTTTGGGCCACTGGTGAAACTAGACAAAGCTCTGGACTGGAAGCTGAAGATTGCTTTGTTAGATAATGGGTTCTGTTTCCCCCTCTTTTTCCTGGCAAGTTCTTTTAAAGCTGTTCTAAACTTGCTGCCCTTTAGTATTTCTGCTGTACTCTAATTCTATTTTATTTCAGGCCATGTGCACAGTCAACATGGAGTGTGAAAAAGACTATGTAAAGCATACAGCCATTATTTAAATTATCTCACTACATGTAAAAATAGCATACACTCTGTCATCCTGAGGGAGAACTGTAGACTAGTCACACAGCTCTGCTATCTGAACTCACTAGACCACATCACTGCTCAACTCTGTTTGCCATCGAAAATACAGGTCTGGTCTAACTGTGCCAGTTCTGTTTTGTAGTTTTTTAAGATTTTTTTTTTAAATAAAGGGTATGAAAAATAACTAGTTTTGATTTTTTTTATCATTTGTGGGCCAATGAATCATAAAATCATAGAATCACATACTTTTATAGATGGTGAAAGGCAAACCTCTTCACATTGTAGATGAGGACAGTTTTCTTTTAATAAAATGTACAAGTCTTGATGTGGATTTTAATCCAGAGATTTTTTTTCAAAAATCAAGATATTTTAAATCATTTATATTCTTAGGAAGTGATCAGAAAAATAATTTTAAAATATTAAAACTTAATTTGTTTAACAATCATTTATTGGGAGCCTCCTATGTGCTCTGAAGTCTGATAGATACTGATACCATGAGGACAGATAATTTGATCCCTGTTAATATTTATTCCAATACATTATGATGGAAGTTTACATAATTTGTAATAAACATCTAGTAACAAACATATAACAATTTAGCTGACTTGTTATTTACAATACATAAGGATACCTTTTCCTTTGTGGTTAACCACAGTAATGACACTGGTTAAATAACAAACTAGAACTTCAGCCAGAGATAAAAGAAGCATTAAATAATAGAGCAGAAGAGATTTAATGACAGATAGAAGGAAGACTTCCTGACAAGAAGGTTATTAAAACACTAGACTGGCTTGCCACAGGAGAATGGGAACTTAATCTATAATCATAGGTTATCTCTTCATTATTCAAGGTCTGTTCAAGACGATGCACCTGCAAGCTATGAAAGACATTTCTCTATTTGTTTTGATAAATTCATTTTTTTCCCTACATGTGAAAGTAATCACAAGCATTTTGGAAAACATGGACATAAAATCTCACCCTTAACCCCACCACTCTAAACATAACCAAGATTAGCAATTTAGTAATTCTTGTCCTTTATTTTCTGTAAAGACAGTTTCATTTTACAAAGCTTTAATCATGGTGGAAATACATTTTTCCTATTTTTCACTTACGACATAACCATTTCTTCATGTAAAACATAATATTCAGAAGATATGTGATGAGATAATTTTGTGAGATGTCAGTCCATGTATTTTATTTCTCATACCACCATTACCCACAATCATGTTTCCCCTTTGGGCTGCAGGAGAAGAGGCCAAATCTGGGTAGGGTCAGGCACTGGTCAGTTCAAGGAGATTAACGACACTGAATTCTAGCTTTCTAAGTTCAAAAGGAATGTCCAAATGTAAGGCCACAAAAAAAAAAAAGTGGAAGCAAATGCATCCAGAGAAACCAGTTCCCTTCCCATCACCAAAAACGAAAGGTAGAAATACTTGTCAAAACTGTAGAGGGTGGGAAAGAAGAAATTAAGGGAATCCCTTGGGCTTAGAAACTGGTCAGCCTCCCTCAGCCCTCACCTTCCTGCTCTTGTATATACTGGGCTGGGGAGCAAGTATTGGCAATGAAGTTCCTTCCAGGGAAGTTTGGGGGCCTAAAGTAGAGTAGAATGTGCCTTGATGATCCTGCCTGGAATTCTGGTAGTTCCACCACAAGTCATGTAGGAGTTGAAGAGAAGACTGGAAGGGGATGGTGGGACCCTGCCACATCTAGGATCCCCACAGGCCTCAAGAACAATGTTTACTTCAATATTGCCATGCAAAAAACTCCAATGAGTATCAGTGCTATCTCCTGGAGCAAACTGGTAATTCCAGACAGAAGGATCAGCAGGTAGATGGTGACCCCTTGTCTATACGTTCTAAAAAGACACATGCTTGAGCCAGGACACAGATGGGTGTCCTGTGGGGCCCATCCTCTAGTAGAGGGACACCATCTCCTCTATTGCTCTCTCTCTTTAATCAGGGTGAACGTGAGAATGGTGTGAAGACAAAAAGACCACTTGGGCAGACTGAGCTTAATTGCCAGCTGTTGGGGGAGTGCTGAGAAAGCTGGCTGCCTAATATCTGGAGATTTTGTGGGAAGGTGAGTTTGGATGCAATGCCTCCCACTGCAAACAGAGGGAACCCCCAGCCCCGACTATTCTCATTTCCAAGGTCGTTCACCAATCATACTTGTCTCCACAAATATCAAAGGTTTAATACTCTATATTCTTTTGTAACTTAGGTGTCATGGAGTTCTAAACTCTTGCTATACAGCAAATGAAATTGCTAGTGGAAGATTGTTTACAGAAAAAGACTAAAAATCTTTAAATGTCTGGCACAGATAGGATCTCAAGTATTTGTTGAATGAGTGAATGTAAGGACAAGAGAATGTCATAAATTCTGTTTGGGATCAGATTATTAGGCTATCTAACATTTATGATGAATCCAGTTTGTGGAAAAGTATTGTTCTGTGAAATAATTGTATCTAACCTCAATTTTAAGAGCCAATCACTATTCAATTGTCCATGAATTTATCTAAATATTTTCTAATTTGTATTATAGTTTCAGACTCTACAAGTTTAGAGAACTAACAATTTCCAAATGTTTATATTATGATGAAAAGATATGCTTCTTTTTGAAACTTCCTATTTTATATCTCATATTCACTCTCCAACGATATGTGAGTTTGTGGAAAAAAGTATTTTTCTGAAATGTATTTTGAATCACGTCATGTATAAGTTTTTTAAATTCACTTTTCATCTTTATGTAATGCTAGAAATTGTTCTCAGATTAATAATTACAGAGTATATGACAGTGACTTCTGCTGGATCATACTCCAGTAAATGAATGCTAATGGACCAGCATTCCATTAGGTGCTGGAAAACATTAAGCTTGACATATATTATCTATAAAGTAGAGCCAATAATCTTGTCTTATCTGTAAGAGTTAAAATGCTTTTAAGTGCATACACTATTTAAGCTTTATCAAGATAAATTTTGTAGTAAATATCAAAAGCCCTAAAAATGTGTATACCCTTTATTTAATCAAGAAATTCCATTTCTGGGACTATATACTAAGAAAATATTCATGGACATGTGTAAAAA